TACACCTCCCTCGGAGCCCACCTTAAAATAGTCCCTCTTAAATTTGGATTTTTGGCATAGAGATATAGGGTTAAAAATTGATTTTTAAATTTTTTTAAGTTCTTTTTAAAAATAATGTGTAAGAAAATAGAGAGATAAAGTTATTTTAAAAAAGTCAAAAAATTAAAAGTTAGCTTTTAATCGTGTTGTCAAAATACGTCTTTAACTTAGGGTCCGTTTGGGAAAAGGTTTTCTAGGCTTTTTTGACTATTTTAGTCACAAAAGACAAAATAGGCTATTTTAGCCACAAAAAATAAAATTTTATTTACAAATATTTACAAAAAATAAAATTTTAGCCACAAAAAATTACAAATATTTCATTATCAAAATTTTTTATTTAATATAATACAGAAAATAAAATTCTAATTACTCTTCTACACAATAATAAAATTATCAAAATTATTAATTGAAATATATATTTAATATAATTAAAATTATTAATTGAATTAATAATTTATTAATAAAATAAATTGTATTGGACCATTTTAATATCTTTTATTTATTTATTTTTATTTTGGTGACCTTTTGTCTTGTTCATGAATTTTTTTTTTTTTTTTTTTTTTTTTTTTTGTGACCTTTTGTTTTGTTCATGAATGGAGATTAATTGAAAAGTCATGGGCTTGGTGGTGAGTTAATATTTGGAGACTCTTCATTTTCTCTAGTTTAATGGTCATTATTTTTTTATGTAATTTGTAAGGTTCTAGTGGCCTATAAATTGTTCCTCCCATCTACTCTTTTTTACACTAACTATTTTTTTACACTTGAGAGATTACTCGCAAAAGAAGGGTGTTTTTCTTGGTGGAGTTTTGGGTTCACCATCTTGTACAGAGTTGGCCTGAACCATACGACAAGTGGTCGGGCTATTGTATCGGGACAAGTCATAGTTTAGTGACTGCTGCATTGATATTTGGGTTCTTCTTACTACAGTGGGCTTGATCTCCTTAAAGAAAATGAGATATTCGTGTCTCAGCCTGATCTATTTGTATCTCTCAATAAAATATAATTCTTCTGATATTTTTCATCAACAAATTGTTTGTTACAAAAATATTTGAGACCACTAATTAGTGGTACCGCTAATGATGTGACAGTGGGCTCCACCCACCACCACAGGGTAGTTGTGCCTTTTTTTTTTTTTTTTTAAGTGTGTGTCAACTCATTAATAGTACTTTAAAACACTACTTTTAGTGGTATGTAACATTGTTGTTGTTTGTTATGCGATCGAAAATAAAGAAATGAGATATAATTTTTATAATCACATAAGACATGGGTTGAGGGGGTGATTTGTTGAATTCACCCCATGTGAAGGAGGTGATGCTCTTCCATGGGAACACACCTTGGTCAACAATGGAAGGCAACCAACCAAGTCAAGCTTGGCGGCCACCAACCATCTTGAAAAGTCAAGGATGGAGGCTGCCCAAAGGCTCTCCCACCTACTCCCTCACCTATAAATGGAGGTTGAGAGGAGAGAGCAAAATGTGAGTAAGTAAGAGAGTGAGTGAGCAAACCGTGAACCAAAGAGTGCGAGAGATGTGAGGCAGAGAGACCGTCTCCCTCGGTGTGAGCGAGGGAGACGGGTGAGTGGCTGAGTGAGGAGAGTGTGAGCTCCTCCTCTATTGTAATCTTTCTGTAATCTCCTCATTGGTATAGTGATAACCGGTTACTCTCCCGTGGACGTAGGCATTGGGCCGAACCACGTAAAATATTGTGTCTCCTTGTGTGTGGGTGTGTTTTTCTGCTTGTTTTGATTTCTATAAGGTCTTGGGCGGGATCCCAGATCCCAACACATTGTTGTTGTTTGTTATGCGATCGAAAATAAAGAAATGAGATATAATTTTTATAATCACATAAGATAATTTATATTTTAAATAAATCTAAAAAAAAGTATATTTATAATTTATAAAATAAAAATAAAAAACTAAATTTTGATAAAATTATAAAGAACTCGAACTCATCATAAAAAGCCTCGTTTGGGATAGGCTTTTTGGCTTTTTTAACTTTTGTGAGAGAAATAATATAATGATTATGGATTAAATGTGACTTTTTTGTAAGAATGTGTTTTCCTTTTTTCTTATAGGATTAGGAATTGGTGTCCTATTAGACTTCTATATATCAGTGATGTATTCATGTAGAATTAAGAATTAGTGTTCTATATAAATGATGTATTCTTTGTCAATCAATTCAATCTAATATACAGTTTCATTCCAAAAACTTACATGGTATTAGAGCCACTGTCGGAACCCTAGAAGCCGTTTGTTATTTGCTGACACTGAGTTGGCTTTGGTTCGTAGTTCTTCCATTTGCTTCATGACAGGTTCTCCCTCGCGACTGGGTCTCTGTTGCCTTTGATCCGTGGCTCAGTGTGAGTCGCTAGTCCAGTGTGATCCATGGGTCTCTGGTGCATCTCTCTACATCGTTGGATTGTGGTTTCCTGGTTCGCTGTCCCTCTCTGTCTCGCTAGTTCTCCTTAGGGCTTCGACATCGTCACTTTTTAAAACTCTCAATCAACTTTGTTTTTATTTATATATTTATAAAAAAAAATATTATAAATACACTCCTTAAAACTTGTTTAAAATATGATGTGTTTTGTAATTTTAAAAATTACATTATATTTTTTGAAATTTCAAATTTTATAACAAAAGGCCCCTTACATTGATAAATTATTAAGTTAATTAATAATTTTTAATAATATGATTAATTTATTTCAATTAATAATTTATGTAATTTTATTATTGTATAAAAAAATATTTAAGAATTTCATTTTTTTAGTCAATTTTACTAAATAAAAAATTCTAATAATGGAATATTTATAATTTTTTAAATTGCAAGGAGCAATTCATGATTTAAACAAACCTTAAAGGGTGTATTCATAATTTATCCAAAAAATACAAAAGAATTATAAAATTTGATTCTTCTAATTAAATAAATACTTAATTTTTAATTTTATTAATTTAAATTTTAATCTTTTAATTTTATTTTAATCTAAATTATTTATCTATTTTTCTTAAGTAAAATTGATGAAAAAGATTTTTAACCACAAAACTTAATGTAGGTGTATATAAAATATTTTTTTAAAAAAAAATTGTTGAGTTAAATGATTGAAATATTTTTTTTATTAATTTTATTTGATGAAAATAGACAGATGATTTAGTGTGAAAATAAATCAAAATATTAGGATTTAAATTGACAAAACTAAAATGTCAAAATTTATTTTGTTACAAAGGTGACATCTTGAGTTTTTTTTTTTTTTTATAAATAAAATAAAAATAATGATCGGAGATTATTTACCATAGGAAAAGAATTGTATCTGGACCTTAATAGTCCAACAACTAAAAAAGTTTAATACTCAACAATCCAAGAAATAGTCTCATAATTGGGAAAAAATAAATAGTACAACAGAAGAGATTATTGAGATTATTAAACTTTATTTGAATTACCAATATGTCTTATTTTGGAGATTTATTATCTATTAAGTTTTATTGATAAATTTATCAATTTTTTTTATTTTTATCAATAAATTTACGATGATAAATTTATCAATTAAGACATGTAAATAAATAAGTTTAATTAATAAGACTGATTGATAAATGTCACTAAAAATAATATGATAAATTTAAGAAAGAGGATTGATAATATAAAGGGTGGGTTGGATAATTCATCATACAGGGAGACCTTTGTGAAATATTCCGGGTTATTAAGTTTGCCCAAACAAGCGTAGAATAACGAATTTATAGGGGACAGATTTATGTTATTCTAGTTCAATTTTCTAATCCCTCCAAACGGGGCCCTTGCTGTTCTGAAAGGTTAACCAAATCCAAATTTGGTGAGCAAATTTATTAGGTCATGCACATCCCTGGTTTTGGTAGTGGCTCAAATGCCCACAATATTGCAATTCATTTATATATATATATATATATATTGCTGGGGACAATATTGCAACATGGAGAGGGAAATTTGGATTTTTTTAATTTATTTTTAAATAATTTTAAAAAAAATTATAAACACATCATTTTCTATCTACTCACAATGAAAGTACAGTGTAGTCCCATGATAATGAGATGGTAGAAAATAATGCGTCTCTAATCATTTTTTTAATTATTTAAAAAAAATTAAAAATCTTGTGTCCTTTTTCTTAATTATTTATACAAAACAATAATTTAAAAATCTTGTGCTTAGTCTCGGACACAACATTTTCTCCCAACTACTCACAATAAAGTGAAGTGGAGTGGAGTCTCATTATAAATAGATGGTAGAAAATGGTGTATTCGTAACCTGACACAATAGTTAAATTATTTATAGTCAATGTCACATTACAAAAACATCTTTAATTTATCATTTTGATACATATTTCAATATTATCTCATATGAAATATTAACAGCTTGTGTAAGAATTTTTCCTAAATATGGCTTAATGTGGCTTATGCATAATTATACTAGATTCATCTCATTAAGTAAGATACATGTACATCAATTAGATGGTGACTAAATATTGATGAATGCACCTATATATATACAATGTATAGAAGACTAATGCTAATGCACATTGAATGTAATGAATTCATTATGAATGAATCTTAGAGATACACATTGAATGTGATGGATTCATTATGAATGAATCTTAGAGATGCACATTGTATCTATTATGAATATGTAAGATACATTAGTCTTATCTAATGAATTCATTAAATATAAAAGATGCATTATGTATCATGAATGTATAAGATACATTAATTTATTTAATGAAATTCATTGAATGAATGGTTCTTTGATGGGAAGAATATTAGTATAAATAGTGTAAGGTCCCAAACCATACTCTCCATCAAAAACTTAAGTTGTCACCACATGAAGGCTCCCATCGCCTGGAGAGAGAGAAGTGGTTTGAAGATCTTAGACAAGTCAAGAACTTAAAGATCAAGATCTTCCATTCAAGATTTCTTTTTCTTAAAAGAGGATTTCATACTATCATGGATCAAGGTATGTATTCACTTATTTTGTATATTAGAAATTAATATAGTTTTCATGTATGGAATTGAATCCTTAATGGTTTTTAGTTTAAGTTTCGCAAAGTTTTCTATCAATTGGTATCAGAGCAATGGTTCTCAATTTTGATGCATGAAACGTATAAGTATGAATTTCATTTTATGATGATGTTCGGTGTATCAAGTGCAAAACCTTGATTTACACTTGTCCAATTTTATTTTTATTTTTGGCCAATCTTTTATTCTATTGATATTAAAATAAAAATTGAAAATTATTGAACAAGTGATAATTAAGATAATGTTTTATGCACTTATAATGTTTTGTTACACGCCTTATGAGTTGAAACATTGTTGATCAGCCCAACGGAGGTTCAACACTATGTATGTTTGAACAACCAAGATGATTAGTATAATAAATATAGCATTAAGTTTTTCTGCCCAACGGTGATAAACTTCTCACGTGCTTTAGTTAATAAAATAAAATAAGAGACATTGAGTTTTTCTGCCCAACGGTGATAAACTCGTTACGATCTTAATGATTGTTTTATTTTATTTTATGTTGTTTATTTTTATTAGTCATCTCATTTACTTTTATGAATTGTTAAAATATATTGTTATTCGGCCCAACGGAAGGATAACTTGATTTCGTATCTAACTAATTATGTTTTATAGTTAGATATATTTAACTTGTGGTGTTATTTTTATGAGATGTGAAAAGTAGTTTTCTTGATTATATTATGTAATGGATATTATGTGTTTGCAGCATTGAATCCTACTTCCATTAATAGTTACTTGTCTGGTATTGAAGCTTTGAGTGGAACTAATTTTAAGAAATGGAAGGAACAAATTGGAATTGTTTTGGGAATTATAGATTTAGACTATGCATTAAGAAAGCCAGCTCCTACAAAGCCTAATGATACAAGTTCTAAGGAACACATGGCTTTATATGAAAAATGGGAACGCTCTAATCGCTTAAGTCTAATGATAATGAAAGGCTCAATTACGCCTGCAATTCAAGGGGCAATTCCTGTTTCTGAAAGTGCAGTGAGCTATATGAAATCTATTGAAGAACAATTCATTGGAACTTCCAAATCCCTTGCTAGTACTCTCATGATTAAAATGATGACAATGAAACATGATGGTTTGAGTGGTGTTCGTGAACATATCTTAAAGATGAATGACATGGTCGCTCAATTAAAGGGAATGGACATGGAAATTTCTGAAGGTTTTCTTGTTCATTTCATTATGACTTCTCTTCCTGCACAATTTGGTCCTTTTAAGATCAATTATAATACGCAGAAAGATAAGTGGAAGATGAGCGAGTTAATTGCCATGTGTGTTCAAGAAGAAGAGAGGCTTAAAGCTGAAAAGCCTGATATGGCTCACCTTACCAGTTTGGGCCCCCCATGTGTGTTCAAGAAGAAGAGAGGCTTAAAGCTGAAAAGCCTGATATGGCTCACCTTACCACTTTGGGCCCCTAAAGTTTGTAAAAGGGAAAAGAAGGGGCAAAAGGGGTGCAACACGAGGACTTCCCAGGGGGCCACCCATCCTAGTACTACTCTCACCCAAGCACGCTTAACTGCGGAGTTCTAATGGGATCCGGTGCATTAGTGCTGGTATGATCGCACCCCTTTTGCCCATTCTTTTCCCTTTTACAAACTTTAGGGGCCCAAAGTGGTAAGGTGAGCCATATCAGGCTTTTCAGCTTTAAGCCTCTCTTCTTCTTGAACACACATGGCAATTAACTCGCTCATCTTCCACTTATCTTTCTGCGTATTATAATTGATCTTAAAAGGACCAAATTGCGCAGGAAGAGAAGTCATAATGAAATGAACAAGAAAACCTTCAGAAATTTCCATGTCCATTCCCTTTAATTGAGAGGCCATGTCATTCATCTTTAAGATATGTTCACGAACACCACTCAAACCATCATATTTCATTGTCATCATTTTAATCATGAGAGTACTAGCAAGGGATTTGGAAGTTCCAATGAATTGTTCTTCAATAGATTTCATATAGCTCAATGCACTCTCAGAAACTAGGATTGCTCCTTGAATTGCAGGCGTAATTGAGCCTTTCATTATCATTAGACTTAAGCGATTAGAGCGTTCCCATTTTTCATATAAAGCCATGTGTTCCTTAGAACTTGTATCATTAGGCTTTGTAGGAGCTGGCTCTCTTAATGCATAGTCTAAATCCATAATTCCCAAAACAATTCCAATTTGTTCCTTCCATTTCTTAAAATTAGTTCCACTCAAAGCTTCAATACCAGACAAGTAACTATTAATGGAAGTAGGATTCAATGCTGCAAACACATAATATCCATTACATAATATAATCAAGAAAACTACTTTTCACATCTCATAAAAATAACACCACAAGTTAAATATATCTAACTATAAAACATAATTAGTTAGATACGAAATCAAGTTATCCTTCCATTGGGCCCCTTTGCAACAAGACGAGCTTTGTAGCGCTCAATAGAGTCATCAGAATGGGTCTTGATTTTGTATATCCATCTGCAGCCAATCGCAGTTTTTCCAGAAGGAACATCAATAACATCCCTGGTATGAGTTTTGTCTAAAGCCTGTAATTCATCAGTCATAGCTTGGTGCCAAAGAGGATTAGTACAAGCCTCACGATAGGCAGTTTCATAAGTAGAAAATGCAGTAGACCCGACAATATAATCAAGAAGATGAACAGGTGGTTGAGTTACCCGATGTGGATGACTGTTGAGAGGAGGATCTAGTAGGGTGATAGGAGACTCAATGGGACCATCAGAGGGAGCAGTCGGGACAGGATTAGGGGTAAGCAAAGGCATCTCTAGAGAGGAGGAACCTGCATCAAAGGCATTAGAGAAGAGATCGATAGAAGGATTAGTAAACAAAATAGAAGTAGAAGATGATGATAAGTGGAACGAGGATAAGGATGAAAACATTTTATGCTCTCAAAAAACCACATGATGAGAGACACGAAGATGTTTAGAGATAGGATCCCAACAACAATAACCTTTATGTTCAATTCCATACCCAAGAAAGCAACAAAGACGAGAACGGGGTTCAAGTTTGATGTATTCATGAGGTTGGAGGAGAACAAAGCATGCAAACCTAAAAACCCGAAGATTTGTGTATGGAGGACTAGTGCCGTGTAAACGTGCATAAGGAGTTTGGTTATGGATAGTAGGAGTGGGAAGACAATTGATAGTGTAGACAGTAATAAGAGCAGCTTCCTCCCAAAAATATTCAGGACACGAGGAAGAGATAACTCGAGTAGTGTCAAGAATATGCCTATGCCTCCGTTTATCACGACCATTTTGTTGGGATGTGCCAGCACAGGAATGATTAGGTTGAGTACCATGACGCTAAAGGAAGGAGAGAAAGTCAAGATCCCGATATTCCATAGCATTATCAGATCGAAAATTTTTAATGGTTTTAGAAAATTGGATTTGGACCATGTTTGCAAAATTGTAATAAAGTTGTTTGAGTTCTGATCGATTTTTCATGAGAAATAACCATGTAAAACGTAAAAAATCATCAACAAAGACAACAAAGTAACATGATCCCCCCACAGTGGTAGTAGGTGATGGTCCCCAAATATCATAATGTATAAAATCAAATGGTGCATGAGAAACAGAAGTACTTATATTAAATGATAAAGAAGGTTGTTTTGTAAATTGACAAGATAAACAATCCAAAGTATCGGGAATGACATGACCTAATTGACCAGTAGAAACTAAAGATTTTAAACGACTAACAGAAATATGTCCTAAACGACAATGCCAAATATTAAAAGGAGACATACTGGAAGTAGATGTAAGAGCAGTTATCAAGGTAGAGTCGGGAACATGAAGATAAATGAACTCATAAAGACGTCCATGCTTATGGCTAGAGATGCAAACGAACCGAGCTGCTCATGAGCAGCTCGAAGCTTAGCTCGTTAACAGCTTGTTTAAGCTCGTTTGATTACCAAACGAATCGAGCTCGAGCTTTGTTACCAAGCTCGATTATTAAACGAGTCGAGCTCGAGTTAATATGAGCTCGGCTCGATTATATTATCTTATATTATTATGTCATATTATATATTAGTTACAAACAAAAAAAATAATTGAAAATATTGATGATAACCCAATTTCCAAGTCATTAATAAGTAATAAAGTCTCCAAGTCATTAAGAAATAGTAAACAAATAATAAAGCATTGTCCAATAGAAAGTGAGAGAATGGAAAACAATTTATAAAGGGTGAGATTACTTCAAGTTTCCTTATCATTCGATATGGGACAGCCATTGAATGAACTTCACAAACAAACAAAAAAATTGTAAATGACGTGTCCCAAGTTTGGGATTTTTTAAGTATCCCACATTGCTTCTTTTACACATTCAATAGGTACAAGGGATCTATATTAGTGGAGGAAGCCAGCAGCCTACCTTTGCTTCTGCAGTTCAAATGACTATTAATTACAAAGTCAAGACACACGAGCTGAGCTCGAGTTTTGCTTTAGCCTAACAAGTCGAGCTCAAGCTTAGCAATGTTAAGCTCTATTCGAGCTCGAGCCGAGCTCAAGCACTTGAAAATTCATTCGAGCCGAGCTTGAACATGATGATACTCGGCTCGGCTCGGTTGCAGCCCTACTTACGGTCAATCCCAAGAGTCTGTCCCGTCTGAGGGTCCTGTACCAAACAACCATTAGGCCATGTTTGGGAAGTCCCAAATAATCTATCTTTTTATCTTTTTATCTTTTTTCCATCACATCACCTCTCTACTTTTCTGCACATCTTGTCATAAAAAGACAAAAAGTGCACTTATTTAGGTCATCATAAACAACCCTTAGTAGAAAATGTGACAGTTAGACCAAGCTTACATAATTGACTAATAGAAATAAGATTGAAAGTGAGAACATGGATAAGATAAACATTTGATAAAGATAGATGAAAGGTAGAAATATGACTTACAGACATAAGAGAACCATCAGCAGTATGAATTGAGGGAATATGAGGAGAGGAAGAAATCGAAGAAAATAGGGTAGAACTCGAAGTCATATGATTGTAACAGGCTGAGTCAAAATACCAGGAAGATGTACCCGAAGTCATAGACAGAGCAGTAGAATGAGGTATACCAGAGGTGGTGAGAAACTGTTTGAACATGGTTTCAATATTAGTTTGGGAAATGACAGGAGTAGCTGGATTTAAAGGCTCAAAAAATTCCTCAGAGGCAGCAGCAACAGTGTGATGAGCAGACAGAGATCTATACTGATTCCTGGGACATTGTGAACGATCTCGTGAGAAATTTCCACAAGTAGTAGATGAGCGGTCTGGATTGCAAAAACAATCTTGCTGCAGATGACCAGGACTAATCTTGTTGTAGTACCGACAGGATCTGACTGGGCAATGAAGCAGAAGATGAGTAAAAGGAAGGCCCCGATTCTGACAATAATTGCAAGTTGTGAGCCTCTAGGTGGTTAGTGCAGAGGAACTTAGTAATTGAGGAGTGGCAAGAACTGTATCCACATGATGAGTCTTCAGAGGGCCAAGACGAGTCTCCTCAGAAAATAACTTAGAAATTGCCTGCTTAAGAGTGGGCAATGGAGTGCGATGAAGCAGAGATGCACGCACAGGCTCAAACTGGATAGTGAGAGCAATGAGAAACTAAACCATTTTTGGTGATTACGATACTGAGTGAATTAAAGTAGTATCTTCAATATGAGGCCATGCAGGTTCAGAGAGAGCGAGCTGGTCCCAGACAGAATATATCTGAGAGAGGAAATCATTAACAGACTGACCAAGCTCTTGACGTAGGCGATGAAGTTGACTTTTAAGCTGATACTGATGAGCAAGACCAGTAGTTTGATAACGTTCTGTCAAAAAATCTCAAATGTCTTTGGCAGGAGCAGTCACGGAGTCAAGTTGAAAATGACCAAATTGTAAACTGATAAAGGTAACAGAAGTATTTCAAAGCCAAGTGATGATCTGGTAATTCTTACTGTCCCAGTCCTCTAAGCGGTCTGCATATGTGGTAGTTGTTTCATGAACCTCTTTCACGGGTTGAACCACATCCTCAGTGATAATGCGCCAAAGTTTCTTCCCTTTCAGAAAACCGGACATGGCTTGGGCCCATAACACATAGTTTGAGCCGTCAACGATAACAGAGATTGGATGAGGAGTATCATGACGATCCATAACAGTGGTTTGGTGAAGTAAAATAGAGAAAAATAGTGCTATAGGAGCAAAAATCAGCAAAATAGAGTGGACCAGTGAGTCTAGAAGGTCGAAAATAGCTAGGAAAGAGGTCTAGTGTGCAGAGATGACGTCAGCAAGGTTATATGACGTCAGCAGGTGCGCAACTCACGTTAGCAGGAGAGTGTGCAGCACACGATAACAGCAGAGAGGTCAACAGATGCGTGGCGCACGTTAGCAGCAGGCGTGCAGTGTACTGTAGTGTTGACGCGCTTAGGGCTGATGTCAGCGAGGATTGAAGCGGAGAGACGCACGCGTGATGGACGCATGACGTGTGATCGTCGGGCAACTGGCGCGTGGTAGCGCGTGTAGATACTGATGTCAGCAAAGATAGAAGCGGAGAGACGAGCACATGACGGACGCGTGGCGTGTGATCGTCGGGCAACTGGCGCGTGGTAGCGCGTGTAGATGCTGGTGGCGTTGTGAATGACACGTTGAACAATAAGTGGTGCGTGAGAGCACTTTTGAGCTTGTTTGGGAGCATGGTTGGTGGCTCTAGAATCGTTTGGAAGAGACAAATATTATGGTGTTATAAGTTTGTGATTACGGCCACTGGAATCTTCTGAAAAGAACGATGAAGTAGTGTTGGAACAAAGATAACAAAGTGTATGGGTGATGGAATGAATGCTGTAGTGCCACTGTGTACGAGACTAAGCACAGAAAAAGGCTATAAGTGAGAAAGAGAGAGAGAGAGAGATACATGTTAGAATGGTTGAAAGAAATATGGAAAATGTGTATCTGTATTATATTGAATGAATAGAGTACAATAGGAGAGCCTGTATTTATAGGTTGTCTACAAACCTAGATAAGTATAAAAGGAGATAGAGATAGAGATAGAGAGAGATGAATTATATCTATAATACAATGAGATAAATATAAATTTAAATCTAATATATACATTAACAATATAGATTATAAAAAAGTAAATATGCATTAATGAAATTTCAACTAAGAGAGACATTTTCCCCCCCTAGGTACATAGACAAATTCTGATTCGTTGGCTAAAAGTTCGTGTACCTTATAAGGAAGTGGGACTGAGCAAGAAATTCATAAAATCCGTACTTCGATCCGTTTTAGTCCAATTCAGTAGGTTTGGATTGTTTTTTGAATCCGTAGTTCGGTTTTGGATTGAAAAATTAAATATCCACAGTCCACAGATCGTTTCCGGATTGAACCCCACGATTTCGGATAGGAACCGATCCGGACCGTATACAAATAGCTTATATTTATATTATACACTCTCCTATATAGTATCTTCTTTTATTCTATATAAAACCTAAACTCAAACCTAAACCCATGTAGTATCTTCTTTTATTGCTTTTGTTTGTTGATTTTTAGTTATAATTTGTAATAGTCTAAATACTTATGGTGGAACCAATTTTTTTTATGGTTATTTAAATTCTAGAACAGTGTCGCTATTATAGAAGACATATTGTTATTGTAGAACGAATATGATGCTATATTTATATTTCATGAAATTAAAATATATATATATTTTTTTGTTATTTAATTATATGAATTCGTAATCCTACACCAATTTAATCCGTATTTAAATGAATTGGTTCGGATTGATTTTACGATTTAAATGCATTAAGTTGGTTCTAATTTTTCAAAATCATAAATAACGAATTAATATTGATTTTATCCAAATCTAAACCAATCTAGACCCAAAAGTGAGGAACTATCCTTGACGACTTGTGACTTTTCTTTCTTAATATTCAGCGGCAATTTTTCATATATGATTGTTGAGTTGAATTTGTTGTATTATTGAATATTTTACATAATTACATTTTCATGAATACTTTTCAAAAAATATTATAAATATCTGGAAAGTATCATTTTATTAAAAATTAATTCACCACTATATAATTATTTAACTCGAGTCTTGGAGTTAGTTCAACAAATCATAGTTTTTATTATTATATATAGAAACTCCATAATCTCCGCCACATATTTTTTCATTATACATTTAAATATAAATTTCAATTATATATTTAGGCCAAGTTTGGGTAGTTTAAAAAAAAGCTAAAAAGTCAAAAAAGTTATTCAAAAAGTTAAAAAGTCATCACTATTCACCAAAAGTCAACAATTACGGCTGTACAATTCCCAATTCTAATTTTCCCCTACAAACTAATTTTTACAATTTTTTATTACACATTTTTTCATAAAAAATCAAAAAATTAACCCAAACATTCATATTTTCAACCTCAACTTTTTAGTATAAAAAGACAAAAAATACACTTATTTAGTCTTCACCTTAATAATTTAATTATATATGTTTCATTGTCAATTATGTGGTCCATATTCCTTTCGAGTCAAACTTGGCTTTCTTTCATATGTGGTCCACACAGCACAACCACAAGCCTTGGTTCAATATTTTTTTTTTTTTCAGATGGAGCTTCCGAACCGGTTTTTTATTTTAAATTCACTCCAAGCCGAAAATAAATACCTGCAAAACATGAAAACAAAGAAATGCTAAATAATAATAAATAAATACAAAAACGATAAATGAAACAAAAATAATAATAAATAAAAGATACTTTACCTCAAAGGAACACCTAACGTATACGACGTATATGTATACGAATGGATACGCTGGCTGCTGATAAAAAAATACGAATATACGAATACGACACAAATACCTATAAACGGAGGTAACGGCAAATGTCAAACCACACGTCAAACATAACGGAAAAGGCACGGAAGACGAATGAATGGAATGATCTTTGAATGATTCATGATATTCATATACGAAGCAGTTTTTAACAAGATTAACTTTGGTTAAATTCAATTGAATTTTAATTTTAGGTTTTTAGAGTTCATTTGAATTGTAATTTTAAGTCCAGAAGAAGTTCCTTCAATTGCATTGAATGGCTGCGATTCATGTATATTATATTATGTATACACACAGAAAGTTATCATGTGCCTGTAATCAGATCCCTAGGTTTTCGGTACCGGAGAACAAAAAATCCAGTCCGTCTGATGTAATCTCCAAGGGTTTGATTGTTCAGGAATTCGCCGAGATCTGACACAACCACCGCTGTGCGTCGCCGGAATTTGCAACGCCGCCTATAACCGCCGCTGGTTCCGAAATATTACGGAAATTTGAGCAAACTTTTAGAGATTATTCTCAACATACCGTAGACGTTAATTCATCACAACTCCACCGCCTTCGACATGTTTGATAGACGGCTCTGCCTCGGCCGGAAGCCCGATCGCCGCCGCTGCTGATGAGACGAAGGACGAATCAGAGCCGACAGAGCTCTCTTCACCAAATCGCCTTCAACGGTCCCGATTCGAACCAGCGAATTCGTCATCGCCGACCTCCGAGCGTTGAGTCGGTTCGATGGATACGACACCGTTTGGTTACTAAAATTCTTATGCAAACTGCAACGAAACGAGCCTGGATGATTAGTCGGTGAACACATACAGGTCCGCTTTTGAGTCCCTGCCTTCATCACCTGGTTCCGAGACGATACGGAGATCGATCGGCTCGGAGAAATCGGACGGTCGATAGAGAACCGTACCGACCTCGCCGACGGAGCTGAATCGTACAAATTGACGCGCGTACGAGAGGTTGATCTGTGGAGGAAAGTGTTGGATTGAGACGAAAAGCTGGAGCTCGATGAAGCGAAGGCTGAAGAAGAATACGATGATGGAGACGAAGTGTGGAATCTTCCGGAAGGGGAGAGAGAGCGTAGGATTGGTCCGCTTGATCTTCGAGAGGAAGCCGCCATTTTTGTTGCAGTAGAGAGAGATTCTAGAGAGAGTGAAGAAAGAATCTTGAGAGAGAAGAACAGAGGGGAGAGGAGGATTTTTACTTCCCAAAAAGCCGCGTTTGGGTATCTAATTCGGCAAACCTTGCTTCGCTCAAGCCCTGTATTTATAGCATTTTTTCCAGCTGATTTGGGTTTTCCTTTTTTAATAATAAAAAAAACTACTATAATTATAGATATTTATATTTATTTTATATTTTTTTTAATATATAGATTATTTTTTTAAGATTTTTTATAAAAATAATTTTATAAAAATAATTTAATATATAAATTATGTTTTTTAAGATTTTTTATAAAAACAATTTAACAATCTTATCACTAACCACAGTATATGAAAAAAGTTGAAAAGGGTACTGCAGTAACTATATAGAGATTGTATCTATAATTATTTGTATGAGAAAATTTTAAATGTTGATCAGGAGATTTTGACCAAATCAATAAATGCAGGCATGTGGATTGAAAAAAGTTAATAAATGCTGATCATGAAATTTTGACCAAATCAGTAAATGCTGAGTTTTTTTTTAATAAAAAATTTAAAAAATTCAGATTGGGATATTGAAGCTCCCACAGGACTTGGGGTTAAAAATCCCATTTTCCTTAAAAACCCCCTTGAGTGTTTATGTTTATCTAACTTCAATCATATTAAAAAATTAAATTATAAACAAAAGGAGATAACTTCAATCATACAAATCACAATTTTTTTACATTTTTTTTAATGTCATCAATAATTAAAAAAACACCATTGAATATGAATACGATTAACATATTATACCTTGAATATTTTTAGGTTCCAGATGCACGGAGTGGTCACCGATTTGTTACTGATTCTGAGGCAGATAAGAACCTATATATGCCATCACTAGATGATCAGATATATATAACCTTCGAACATTGTTCATCTATTTTAGCTCAATTTTGTTGAATTTGAGTTGAGGCATCTCAAGCTTGACTGAGCGCATTGTTTTTAGTGTGAGTTTGTTGATGTGATTTGTTATCTAACAGTATGAAGATTTTTAATGATTCAAATGAGAAATTGTTCTAATAATGGTTATGATGTTGCTATGGTTGTTGGATTAAAATTGATGTGAAGTTGTGTTGAAATCATATTCATGTGCTTACCTTGTTGAATTTTCTGGTTACTGTTTAATCAATCCATGGGGATACTCTAATTGCAAGTTACAAACATTTTAAATAAAGCATTAGCGATGGTTATTGCTATATGATGTCTACAGTGATGATTTTTCATGTTAGTGGGTTTGAATCCATTATATCATAATTCAATCATAGTGTTGTTAGGGCGAGCAAAATATTAACTATTTGGTTATTGCACTGAACATAAGCTAGGATGACATGCTAAAGCAAGAAGCATACAAAGCTAGTTTAAGAGATTTACACTACAAGTGTATTGCACATGCATAGAGTGGCAAAACCAACCCAAAACAGATCTAAGGCATGGTAAAACATCACCAAAAACCTACTGAAATGGACTCAACACAAGCTAGGCAAACATGCTACTTTGATGAGCTACAAATGGGATTACACTACACATACAAGATGCATGCAAAAGGTGACAGTGTTTATGTTTATCTAATTTCAATCATATTAAAAAAATCAAATTATAAATAAAAGGAGATAACTTCAATCATACAAATCACAATTTTTTTAATGCTATCTAACTACAATCACATTTTTTTCATAATAAAAAAAAATAATTCAAAAAAAGGACCATTAAAATAGTAAATAGAAAGATTATTTAGTAGTATTGAACAAACGACAATCACATTTTTTTTTGTGAGTATTTATGTTTATCTAATTTCAATCATATTAAAAAAATCAAATTATAAACAAAATGAGCTAATTTCAATCATACAAATCACAATTTTTTTAATGCTATCTAACTACAATAATATTTTTCTCATAATAAAAAAATAATAATTGAAAAAAAGAACCATTAAAATAGTAAATAAAAATATTATTTATAACCACTGAACAAACTACAATCACATTTTTCTTTTTGTAAGTTAACTTCAATCATATTAAAAAATAAAATTATGAACAAAATGAGATAATTTCAATCATACAAATCACAATTTTTTTAATGCTATCTAATTATCATCAATAATTAAAAAAATCAATCACAAATTAAGTCAATTGACAATTAAAAAACACAAGAATTTATTTTCAAAAAACATAGTGAGTTAAAAAAATCAATTACAATTTTTTTTGAGTCAAAATACAATCTAAGCATCATCAATAATTGGTATATTATATGACTCTAATGAGTACAATCCATTTTGTTTTTCAAAAAATACAGTGAGTTAAAAATCAAATCACAAATTAAGTGAATTGATAGTTAAAAAAACATAATAATTTTTTTTTAAAAAACACAGTGAGTTAAAAAAATCAATTACAATTTTTTTTTTCAAAATACAATCTAATCATTATCAATAATTGGTACTTTAAAAATCAGAGCAGAAAAAAATCAAATTAAATCACAAATATTTTTTTCATAAATAATTGTAAAGAAAAACCATTAAAGCAGTAAATAAAAGATTAAATCACATTAAAAAAAAAAAAGAACCATTGAACAAACTAGAATCACATCACATTTTTTTCATAATAAAAAAATAAATAATAAAAAAAAGAACCATTGACTAACTACAATCACATTAAAAAAAATAGAACCATTGAACTAATTACAATCATTTTTTTTTTCTTCGTGAGTGTTTATATTTATCTAACTTCAATCATATTAAAAATAAAATTAAAATAGTAAATAAAAAGATTAAATAACATTAAAAAAAAACATTGAACTAACTACAACAATCATATTAAAAAAAAGAGCCATTGAACAAACTATAATCACATCACATTTTTCCCATAATAAAATAAATAAATGAAAAAAAAGAACTACTAAACTAACTACAATCACATTTAAAAAAAAAAAGAATCATTTAACTAATTATAATCACATTTTTCTCTTTGTAAGGGTTTATATTTATCTAACTTCAATCATATTAAAAAATCAAATTATTATTTTTTTATTCGCTAGAAAAATCACAAAATATTTTTATGCGCTATTTAACTACAATATTAAAAGAGTAAACAAAAGGAAAAATCAAGAAGGAGAAAACAAAAAGAAGATTTACTGTTTGCATACGTGGTCACTGAAGTTGAAAATGTAAAAATAAGAAGTTAAGAAGGAGAAAACAAAAAGGAGACTCACTGTTTGCGATAGATATTTGAAGAGTTAAAAAGAGTTTGTGTGTTGGAGAAGCTAAAAAGATTTGGAAGAATTTAATAATTGCTAAGTTTTTTTTTTTCAAAAAAAAATCAAAAAAGTTAAGAAATTAAGATTCAAATATTGGAACTCCCACAAAACTTGTAGGTTAGAGATAAATATAAATAAATAGATAGATATAGATATAGATATTTATATTTGTTTTAAATTGTTTTTAATATACAAATTATTTGTTTTGAAAAAGGTACGACAGCAATTATGAGAGAAGTAAAAAAGTCTTATGGGTTGAGAGAAGTTAATAAATGCTGAGGTTAATTTTTTTTTAAAAAAACAAAAAATTAGAAAATTAGAATTAGCATATTGGAGCTCCCACAAGCCTTGAGGGTTAAAAACCCTCTTTTACTTAATATATAGTATAGATATTTATTAATTTATTTTGTTTTTTAAAATTTAAATATTGAATCCTAAATAGATTTATTTATTTAAAGATAAGAATAATAAATAAATAATTTGTTGATCATATTCCTAATATCAAAATTTTGCATCAACTTTCAATAAAATTGACAGGGACTATAACTTTAGAATTTTTTATTCATAATTTACGCAGAAATAGCAATTAATAGTTTAAATTCGTTTCACTTATAAATTCATATTTTATCAATTTGATATAATTGAACGTAACTGAATGGAATAAAATATAATAGTATCTTCCTATTTTAAGAATATAACTGAATGGAGAAATTTCAATGTATTGATAAAATTCTTTACTAATATTTTGAATGATAATTATTGATGGTAAATGTGGTGGTGATTGGGGGTGAAAGTAATGACATTTCACAATTTAACTTCTGCATTAAAATAGTAAAATTTCATTAGACATTTGTTTGGAGCATTTTATGTATAAATAAGTTTATGGACACAGATTTATGGTCATCAAATTTATCTCGAATGGAGATGTGTAGTTAAGGTTAAATTTATGTTGTGTAAGATTCATATATAAGATAAATCGAATCATAATATCATAATTTTAAATAATTTTGAATAATTAAATCTGAATTTATGATTACTACAATTTTTTTTAAGATAATATTTCCACTGGTAATTGTGACAATGATGACTGGAAGTTTTTTTTTTTTTTTCTTTTGAGGCTTGAGTATATAAATATTGTTGTTTATTAGCTTATTGATTTATGAGTAATGTTAAAATTTTAAATATTTTATTAATATTTTTATTAAATGTCTTATATGGATGTGAGACCCACTCATGTGAGACATGGGTGAGTCCCTAGCATTTTTCTTGATTTATTTTAGTTATATCATTTATCTATTTCTTTATATATTTTTTCATAATAAATTTTAAAAAAATTAACTTATTGGTCATAGATAAAATAACCCTAAAAGTGCATATTTAAAATTGTTATTGTAAAGCCATAAAGAGCTTGTTTGGAAGTTGGGTAAGCCATATAGCCTCCGTTTGGGAAGTGAGTTGGATTTTTGGTTTTTTGGTTTTTTTGGTTATTTGAGCCTGGGCTCAAAAGCTTGGTTTGGGAATAGTTTTTTGACTTTTTGGTTTTTTTAACTTTTTTTTTGAGAGAAGAGTGTAATGATTATGGGTTGGATGTGATATTTTGTCTGTTGTGCCTCAAATAGCCTATTCTATTTTTTGTGGCTCAAAGAGCCAAAAGAGCCCAAATGGACTCTTCCCAAACAACACCTATAGTGCATATTTAGTTTTTTTTTTTTTTTTGGTTTTTTAAGACAAGCTAGGCTAAAAATATATTGTCTTTGGAAAGTTGATTAGTTTTTTTTTAATTAATTTGATGATTATGAGAAAAAAAGTAAAATAATTATGGTTT